GTCTGGTCGGGTCGTCTTGTTTCAGGCGGCGGAGGAGCAAACTGATACCATCACGAGACGACTCAGTGCGCGAGAAAGGCCCTCGGCCGCTGTATGTCTGGGGTCGGCCCCACGAGGAAATCCTCCGTGGAGTCTCCGCAGCTTACTCGCCCGATGTGGTGCCCCGCGCCAAGTCAGGGTTGAGAGCCGGAGAAACACGTCAGGTCACGGGAATAACGGAGATGGCACTTGGTCCCAGGGACTCGGGAGTCGCCCCTAGTCGGCAACCTCAGAGCTCAATTGGCCGCCCAGCAAACGTCGAGTAAGGTTGGAGAAACCAACTCTGATCCAAGATCTCATTGTCGCAGATGAAGAAACCCCTAGATCGATAAGACACAATTCGAGACAGTAGACAAAACGTCGTTTGCTGATCGCATTTGGTGCACGAGGTCGTCGCGTGGTCAGAACGTTGTTGTCTCATGAACAGCGTCCCATACCGCAGTCCGGAACACCCGGAAGCCTTCTACAGTAGCCGCAAGCGGCGCTAGCAACGGACATGCCGGCAGATCAGCATATACCATGCGGCTTATGACGATGTCTTTCCTGCTACATCCTATCACATCACGAGACGTTAACAAATGAACGTGGTTGTAGGGCCTTTGGCTAACGCTGACCGAATTCCTGTCATGTTCTCGAATCGGCAGCATTGCCACACGCTACAACGTCGTACCACCATCCCCATATCCCCACCTCCAGGCTGTGAGGTCGGGCCGTTTAAGCTTGTCGCTGTTCTCCTGAATGGATCGTTGGAGACTCCAGACTCAAGCTGACGGCCCGAAAGAGAACATGGAGGACTATCCAAAGGGTCTCGTGGTCAACACAGCACCTGCCGGAGAGGCCGCTCAGAGGAGGTGGGATGAGTTCCCGGTGTCCGTCGTACAAACTTGACGTCACGGGCTTCATGTTCCTGTCATGATGAGCTGAGCACCAGGAGTTACAAATATGCAAGGCAGCCCGCCATTTGAGATTCCAGCCCCTCATCAAAACTATATACCATACACATCGAAATCACCCTCAACATCTGTATCAGGCTCACAATATTACAGCCTACCAGTCGCCCAAGATGGCCAAGTTCATGACTGTAAACTTTGATAGCCACAACCCCAATCATGAGAAGGGCACAGACGTCCGCCGTTCCCTTTCTGGGCTGGACTACTCACCACTTCCACGGGTATCGGGACGTTCTCTCGGTCTCGCCATGCTGGTGTCTATGGGAGGCTTGATGTGAGTCAGACACAGCCGTCCAATGTGAGCTTGACTGATATTGGTGCCAGCTTTGGCTACGACACTGGCCAGATCTCGGGCTTTCTAGAGATGCCTGATTTCCTCGAGCGCTTTGGACAGATCAACTCGGAAGGGGAGTACTACTTCAGCAATGTGCGGTCAGGTCTCATCGTCGCCCTTCTGTCTATCGGTACGCTCATAGGCGCTTTGATCGGAGCCCCTATCGCCGATCGCGTTGGCCGCAAATACTCCATTTCCTTCTGGTGCGTCATTACGTCCATCGGCTTTATTATCCAGATTGCTGCAGACGATACATGGGAACAGGTAATGATGGGTCGCTGGGTGGCGGGCCTGGGTGTCGGAGGACTGTCACTCCTGGTCCCGATGTACCAGGCTGAGACGGCGCCGCCTTGGATCCGTGGCGCATGATTGGCACATACCAGCTCTTCATCACCATGGGCATCTTCCTAGCCGCTTGTATCAACTACGGCACGGAGAAAGATTATCCCAACAGTACTGCGTCCTGGCGCATTGT